CTCGGCCAATCACAACGCACTGGCTAGCTGGCCAATCACAGCGCACCTAGCTTTTCAGACCGATGAGCTTTGTAAAAATCGATGCGTTTCAGAAAGGCGGGGCATAGAGGAGAAACAATAATGTACAGTATGTGGAAAATAATGTGTTTTTTGAACCTTAAACCGCATAAACACATTACATTACACCAAATACACAAAATACACAAAATAATGTTCTTTTTAGCAGCATCATATGACCCCTTTAAATTTGGGTGGAGAGCGGAGTATTTGAGTCGCGCGCAGAACACAATAACTGACGGGAGCGTCTCCGGTAGAAAACTGACTGGATCTAAAAATTTTCGATGACAGACACGCAGCTCACTTCTCCGTCTCTGTAAGTTACCGAAAACACACATGAAAACACGTAACATGCGGTAGACGTGCGTTTGTGCTGCAGAGCGGCTCTCTCTCGCACTGTATGACGTGACAGACAACTAGTTGTCCAGTCCTGTTCCGTTCACACAGCGCGTGTGTTCCGAGAATGCGGTTGTGAGTCCTTAAAATTTACAGGTGTGAGGTCGGTTACAGAATGCGGTTGTCACACCCGTAAATAACCATACTGTGTGTGAACGGAACCGTATTAAGGACTCAAATACAGGACTGACAACCGTATTCTGCTGCTGTGTGAACGTGGCCATAAATTACAATAGATATGAAACAGAAAAATGTTGCACATTATGCAGTTCTTACAAAATTTTAGATGTGAAAATTAAATTTCTGTGCACCATGTGCAAGAGAAAATACATTGATGGATTTCTCCATAAAGATAAAGCCGAACACAGAGTTCTTTCTGTGATTCCTAGCTACATTTAAAGGGGTCATATGATGCGATTTCAATTTTTCCTTTCTCTTTGGAGTGTTACAAGCTCTTGGTGCATAAAGAAGATCTGTAAAGTTGCAAACACTAAAGTCTCAAAACCAAAGAGATATTCTTTATAAAAGTTAAGAGTTTTCAAAAAGGCGGGGCATAGAGGAGAAACAATAATGTACAGTATGTGGAAAATAATGTGTTTTTTTAACTTTAAACCGCATAAACACATTTCATTACACCAAATACACAAAATAATGTTCTTTTTAGCAGCATCATATGACCCCTTTAAGGTACACTGTAATTTTTTCTTAAAGTTTTCTACCAAATTAAAAAAAGTAGAACTTTTGAAAAATATTTTTAAAATGTACACTCAACTGGAGAAGACTCGTCATATTAGTATTTTAGAACCTAGAAACATTTGTTTGATTCTACATAAAGTGGGTCCAACCTCACGGTGGCCACCATTTTAACTGTACTACCCACTGTATACTACTCACTATTTTCAGTACTCACCTATTATCAGGCACTTTTATAAAAAAAAAAAAAAAAAAATGGTTGACAAATACATCTGTGAATCCAGTATTTCTACAACGGTATCAGTTACCCAAAAATTTTTTGCATGATGTCTCCTCCACATCAATAGGTGGCAGTATAATGGATCAATGGTGTATCTGTCATTATAAAAATGTTCTTGTAGTGAATGTTGCAGCACTGTAGAATGCAATACAACATTTCACCTGCACTAAAACTACATAATATAACAGCTATGATTAATAAATTATAGCATAGAATAAATACTCCTATTGTTTTCATGTTAGAAACCAAATCTTCCAGCAGAGGGATGATGCTTAATTAAAAAAATAATAAATTGTGTGCCTATTGTGTGCTATATTTATTTTCATAAAGCAGAGTGCACTTTAACCATATTTACAATAAAGCACAACCATGATCAGAAAAATTAAAATGAATAAAAAATAACCAAAAATAAATAAATAAATACTGCAACACGTGTTATTTGTCATTAAATAGCTATATTTCTACCTTGGAGGCAAGAGTGGCCTTCTCATTTCATTGCATTCAATAACCAAAAGAGCACAGGCACCTGGACCATTCATCCTGACAATACTATTCCATTATTTAAGCTAAGGATTCCATCATTAACCATACAGGGGCTGATTTCTGCATCCGTGCATGAGAATGACTGAATGGGAGCGGATGAGAGCTCATATACGGTGAATTGTGATGCTGACGGGGTGTCTCTCGAAAGTGCTCGGGACCCATCTGTTGACGAGAGCTGAGAGCAACACCTCTGAGAACAAGCACAGGCGCTCACACAAACACAGAGGGAATGGTTTCACTGCCACTCCATCTGGTGTACTCGACCTTCTGTTCACTATATGGCAAAAACTGTCAACAAGGAACAGGGTGTGTGCATTATAAATGAACAACAGTCATATAGATCCCACACAAGCTACCTGGAACATAAAGAGCCACACTAGTGAGACAGCAATGTCAGGTGTGAGATAAATGGGTGTGTAGACAAACACACACACACACATCATGAACAAAACCTGCATGTGTCTTTACCTCTGAATGAACTCTCTCATGAATACAGGGAAACAAAAACATACACAGCTTGACATACAATGCATCATCAAGCTGACATGATGATGCAGTGTTTCCTCAAACCCGCGGTTTTCAGACTCTAGGGCTCTATAAAGATACTGCAGAGCACATAAAAAGATATAACGTATATAAAAATATACAGAAAATAATTTTGAAATATTTTAAATTAATTTACATTTTTTTAATACGTTTTGTTATTTAAGTTTTATGCTATTGAAGTTTTATGTTACTTATGCTCTATAAGGTGGATTGAATTTTTATTGCCTTAATTTTTATTTAATTTGCAACAGTGTGCTGAAAACTTACTTATTTCCTCCCAGGATGGAGCCTTTAGGGGATTCCTGCTCATAATCCATCTGTAAATCCTGGAACAAAGAGAAAGAAAGTCACAGAGTATATCTTCACCTTGAGATTCAAAATATGCGGGACGCAGGTATGTTTACACAGAGCTTTGGCTACATTCATGAACATGTTAAAAGATGCATGTAAAGAGAACATGGATGGTACGACAGGTGTGACATGATGTTGGCACATCAGATTCAGCAATTATAAACTCTAGGTTATTTGTTCATAACTAGTGTTGTTTACAATTTAATCCACACATGCAGTTTCATTATGGTTTTAGATTTCAAGGTCTATTAGTGAGTGAAAACAATGGAAGAGATGATGAGATGAGCATTCATCTACAGTGTATTAGCTCTACATTAGCAAGCAAGCACACAGCTCTTGCCACAATCATCTTTGGTTACTTTTCTTAGTTTGTCAGTTTTCATTAGATGCTTTCCTTTTTGGGCTCTGACATCTCAAAAGATATTTTGAAGAATGTTTTCTGCATTCAGTAAAAGTTAATGGGGTCCAGATCAACATTGACTTTCCTTGTATACACAAAAACACAGAGACATTTTTCAAAATATCATCTTTTGTGTTCAGCAGAAAAAAACAAAAACAAATACATATACGTTTGAAATGACATGAGGGTGAGTAAATGATGGCAGATCATTTTGGGGGGGAAATGAAAATAATTTAAGTACAATAAAACAAACATTAATCAAAAGGAAAGAGCAAAAAACAGCAAAAATTAAGACAAACGGACAGACAAACTGTCATTTTTCAATACTGAAAAACTTTAATTCTCACTTTTTGTGATGAAATACAATTAAACATGTTGACTGCAGAAGATTGCTGGAAAGGAATTAGTTCAAACTTCTCCTAACGTTGTACTCTTAATTAGCATTGTGGGAGGACTGGGCCATGTGCTATCTCTCCTCCCAATTGCCAGTATGATCATTCAAGCAGGCAATGACTTGAAATAGCTTAGTGTTCATTAATTAATAGAATCATAAAACAGAGGCAGTATCTATTAAATACAGCAACTCAGACACTGAAAAAGTGCAACGTGAGGAATATTTTAGGAATATGACGTTGTTTTCGCCCTGATGTCTACCTGTGGCATGCTGTCGATTACCACAACAATTTCAACACATCCCTCAGTGTGTGGAGAAAACATGTTTACAGTAAATAATCTAAATGGAAGCTGGATGGGGAGCTAATGTAATTTCACACATCATGACCAGCTGAAAAAGTAAACAAGGTTAATTTAACTTGTTATCCGCATGAGAATACCAGGAAAAGACACGGAAGGGTTGTGACCCGTATATAGGGCTGGGTATCGTTCAAAATTTTTCGATATCGATACCGATACCTTGACTTCGATACCGGTTCCTGAACGATACTTTTTTCGATACCAATTTTATGAAATCAATTTTAACAAGATTACATTATCTAACAAAAAAACTTTGGTTTTATTTTTCAGCTTCTGATGAGATTAACCCCTTAGGTATCGAAATTTGGTACCGAACGACAAGATGTTTTTCGATACTCGATGGTATCGAGGCAATTCGGTCGGTGCCTAAAAAGTATCGAACTCGATACCCAGCCCTACCCGTATATGCATGACCAAACACCTATATCAGTAACAAATAACAAATGTGACCCTGGACCACAAAACCAGTCTTAAGTCGCTGGGGTATATTTGTAGCAATAGCCAAAAAAACATTGTATGGGTCAAAATGATCGATTTTTCTTTTATGCCAAAAATCATTAGGATATTAAGTAAAGATCATGTTCCATGTTCCTACTGTAAATATATAAAAAATGTATTTTTGATTAGTAATATGCATTGCTAAAAACTTCATTTGGACAACTTTAAAGGCGATTTTCTCAATAGTTTTTTGGGTTTTTTTGCACCCTCAGATTCCAGATTTTCAAATAGTTGTATCTCGGCCAAATATTGTCCGATCCTAATAAACCATACATCAATGGAAAGCTTATTTATTCAGCTTTCAGATGATGTATAAATCTCAATTTCGAAAAATTGACACTTAAGACTGGTTTTGTGGTCCAGGGTCACAAATAATGTTAGACAACCCAGAAAAGTCCCACCTAAACCAGACGTTTTTCATGTATTTTTGATCAAATAGAATAAAATAAAATAAAACTGTATGTCTAAAAATCCTTATCCCTATTATTATTACACCTACTACTATTATTAATTTCATTGAATTAAAATGTCAGTATAATGTTTTATTATTGTATAATGTAAATTTATTAATTGTATAAATGTTATTTATTTATTAATCAGGTTTTGAATGTTATGATAATGCAATCTGTATTACAAAAAATGTGTAAAAAAAAAAAATCATTGATATATGCACTAAAGTAATCGCAATATATCATATATCTGGTAACACATTTTTTTTTTTTATATATAAATAATCTGGAATATTCTTTTAAGGGAAACAGTGTGTCTTATTTTTTGAGGGAAGTTGGCTGAAGTGCTTCATCCATTAGAGGAAATGTTCTGGCAGAGGATTTTGCTATAATAATCAGGTTTCTGATGATTAATTCTGAGGACATTCTCTCTCTCAAACTCTTTCTTTAATTCATTTCTCTCTCTTCTTGCTGCTTCCATACCTCTATAGCTCAATTTCCCCCTCTTACTCTCTCTCTCTGGAATACAGCTTTCAGCCATGCAAAACCTCATTGATTTTGCCCTGCAAATTAACAAACCAAATTTCCTTTGCACAGCAAACTGTCATATCCTTATTCGCTTGCTGCTTTTCTGCTGATGGGAGGCTTTTCAGAAAGAGAGATGGAGAGAGAAAGGATAGAAGAGTAAAAGCTAACAGAACATCCCAGACTATCTGCTTCACTGCTTCTCTCACCATCTTCTTTCATCTCCCTCCCTTTGGTTTCTTCATAGGCAGTCAAAAACACCGATTCCAAGCATGAGATTCGCTGTGCCACCTCAGTGTGTGGGCTACAGACCAGATGGATGAGGTGTCACTCAAGAAAGCCTCAAAAATGCAAAAAGATGAAAAAGGGAAAAACATTCCTTTGCACAGGCGTAACCACGTGCGGCTTTTGGCAAACTATACAACATCATTATCCACTACTTCCCTGTCACTGTCCAATGGCAAAATAAAAAATAAAAAATTAATATCCACAACTTATGTAGGATGACAACTACTAATTTAATGTCAAAAATATCCGCCTAGTCATAAGTATCCACTTAGTTCGATATGCCAAATTATTTTTGTTATAAAACTTATAAATGGGTGGTAAAAAAAAAAATCGGCACTATTTTGCCATTATATAACATATCACTAAAATTGATTGGGTGTTGTTGGGGGGTGAGTGACCGTGTACACACACACACACACATATTTAGCATGCACGAAAAATGCTTATTTTTCAATTAAAGACAGCTTATAGATTTAATATGGGCTGCTTTTTTTATTGGTCATTTTGTGTTTCAAGAATAAGGTCGAAGATTAAGAATTATGCTATTAGTTACTTAAATATAAAATATTTTTCTCTATTTAACAACATTACAATAGTGAAAGACGACTTCCCTTACTGATCACGTCTCTTGCGCGGCGGGATGTTGGACTCAATTAGGCCCAAAATACGGGACGTCCCAGCTAATACGAGACGGTTGGCAACCCTAGTTCCACTTGGAGTAGCGCTGCGCAGACCGATCAGTGTTTGACATCAAAGTACCGTGAGAGTGATTCGAAAGCATGCAGAGATGTCTGCTCTCTACAAGCTCTCGCAAGACTTTGATGTCATACACCGATCAGTCTGCGCAGTGCCGCTTCAAGCCAAACACACCTATACAGTTGATTGGTGACGAATATGATGCAGGACAACAACTCTCTGCGTGATGTAGCCTATAGAATGCAGTTATATCTCCCTAACATTGAAGAGATTGGGGCAAAAATGCCCCCGTATGAATTTTTGTCTCATTAAGCAATATCACACTGCTGTTTTTGTCCAAAATAGCATGAGTGCAAATGTGATACTGATTTTGTACAACAGTTCAATAAATAAGAGCTTAATATTGTGTTATATCTTAGACACAATATTGTCTGTTTTTGCTCAGTTTTGCCAATCCAAATATTACCTATTAAAGCCAAAGAAGAACAGTCATGCGTCTCCAAGCAACACACAATTTCTGAATGAATCGGCATTTTAAACGAATCGGATGAACCAATCAATCAATGGCCCATTCATAAAGAAAGCCATTTACTTCATTCATGAATGAATCAGCCGTTTGAACGAATCAAATGAATGAATGAATTAATGAATGACATTCATTAAGACATTTACTGCCAGCTACTGGCATTTTTAGTTTCTTATTTAGAGTATAATTTCATTGAAAAATAATTTCATATTTACATATTAATAAAAAAAAAAACTAATTAAAGGGATAGTTCAACCAAAAATAAAAAATGGAAAAATATAATAAAAAAAAAAAAAATCTTTCTAAAAGTACTTTTTGTTTTATGTATTTCATGCTTTTCTCATGTAACACAATATTGGCTTTAAATGATCAGACGTTCAATATCAGATGTTTTAGACTTTGATGATAATGAAATGATGCATCAGACCCTCTTTGGCACTCATGACAGCGGTGTATGGAAGCCAACACACAATATTTGCAGTTTAAATGCAGCTAAATAGATGCAAACAAAGACAAATCACAATTCAGTATGCAAACAGAGGTAAAAAAGAGGGCCAACTGGAATTCAGTACACAAATATTGTTCAGCACTGTAGGTGTTCACAATAAACTGGTGTTGAAAGGGAGCGGTGAGGTTGTGTCCCTGCTGCAGAATGAGCTGATGCCTCAAACAGACCGTGTGTGCTGGGTTTGTTGCGCTGAAGCAATGTTTTCCCCCTCACTCACAGACCTGCAGAGCACTTTGGTTTAACCATCCCTATGGGACATGCACAGGCACTTCAGACTCTTTATTTTCCCTCTCTCTCTCTTTTCTTGTTTTTCCCCATTCGCTCGGCTTCTCTGCCCCACTCAACATCCATTCCATCTGTCTAACCCTAATCTCTCTCTCTCCATTCCCTCTCCTTCACTCTCGCTCACTTTCAAGATGTGTCTGATTGTGACAAGCCCTAAAAATAAAGCCCCTCAGAGGCCTCGACTACATAAAATGCTTTGCTTTGCAATTTCAAAGTGCTTTTGATTACTGAAAAGTGCAGCAACATATCGACTTCGAGGAATGTGTCTTTAAATGAAGCTAGAGGCTGAAATACCTAAAAAATGACCCAGCACAGAGATTCGGCGTGACAGACAGAGGCAATAACACTGATATTATATACAGGCAAGATGAAAAGACACAGACAGCCATGATCTAAATAAGATAAGGCGAAATGAATGGCATTGATATGAACAAAAGAGATGAAAGTCACATATGGGAGGATGAGTACACTACACAAGCGCTGCGAAGCGGACAAGATGCTACGGAAAAGACCAAAAAAAAAAGATAGGGGACGTGAAGACAAAGATAGAGTAAAATACAAACAAAAAATACCAGATTGGATCTTGCAGTGTAGTATATTTCTTCGGCACAGTCCAAAAAATCGTCAGTGTCGGGCTGTTTAGTAGAAGGACCAAGAAATTTCAGTTAATCACACACACACACACGTGATGCCCATGTGGTTTTAAAGAAACAAAGAGTGATGTGTTACGGGCAGTTGGGGCGGTGGGTGGTTGCTGGGTGAAGAGGTGTTTGCTAAGGCCATGCCCACCTGAATTCAATAGGTTTTTGAATAGGCCTGTGTGTTAAAGAGACAGTACATAATTGCTGAAAAGTAGTGTTGGGATATCATGATGACGAAGGTTAACCAATTACCGTAAAGTTACAGAGATCATAATTCTGCTATATTATTATGTGGCCTTCAAGTCAAGTCAGCCTGAAATGAAATAAACAATGCTTAAATAACCTTGGCTGCTGGCTAAATGCAATTATTTTCCAATAATTAGTACTTTTTGACAAATATATACTTATTACTTTTTTTGACACACACATACAGGTTTGTTTTTGTGAAAAGTGGGGACATCCCATAGGCGTAATGGTTTTATTACTGTACAAACTGTATGTGCTATTGCCCTACACCAACCCTACACCTAAACCTACCCCTTACAGGAAACTTTGTGCTATTTCAGATTTTCAATACACTCCATTCTGTGTGATTTATATGCGTTTTGAAAAGTGGGGACATGGGGTAATGTCCTGAAAAGTCACCTTCTCCTTGTAATACCTATGTAATACCCTTGTCATTATACAAATTTATGTCGCCTTGCCTTGCCTTGCCTTGCCTTAAACAAATTATCACAGTTTCCACAAAAGATGATTTCTGAAGGATCATGTGACACTGAAGACCAGAGTAATGGCTACTGATAATTCGGCTTTGCCATCACAGGAATAAATTACATTTTAAAATATATTTTAAAAGAAAACAGTTATTTTAAATTGTAAAAAAATAGAACTTTATATTAATCAAAGAATCCTTAAGCCAGTGAAATGCTCTCCGACAGCAAATGCAATGAGTTTGCTTCCTTCTTTTCTGAGAAGATC